CCCCAAAACCCCAAAACCCCAAAACCCCTTGAAATAAAATTCACTTTGATTGATATTTGTAAGAAATCAAAAAAACTTGATTCTTTTAAAAATGTTTTTAATTGAATTAATGTATTAGTAAAATATCTGCATGGTTTGCATAAATTATATTTCAATAGAAATTTGTTAATTTTGCTGTATTCATGCCTACTTTACATTTATTTTACATTTTTTAGTCACCTATCTTTCAAACAGTTTTGACACTATTAAAATTTCTCTCAATCAATCTTATTTTTTTAACAGCAGGCATTATCAAAAAGATTTTTATCTTCTAAAATTATTGAAAAGGACGTTATCATACTTCTGACTTATGAAAATTTAAAGGATTTATTAAAATTTCCATATGCTTCTGTTTGTTTAAGTTTCTTTCTACAATTTCTGAAGTGTTTATAATTTGACCTCTACTTGAATTATTCAACTAATGTTTATTTCAAATTTTGCATTGAAATTGCAACCTCAACATTAAATGATTTATATATTAGTATTTAAATGATAATAGTCAAACTCTCAGTATCATTCATTATTGAAGCTTATATTGAAAAATGATTATTTCTTCTACTCTTTTAGGAATTTTTATATTCAAATGACTCATAGTGATATTGAAAATTTTTAAGGATATATTTTTTTAGCATTTTTGAAATCTAAAGTTTCTTAATTTTTTGGGAAAAATAATGAAGTTCTAACTCAAATCATAATTCTCAAATTTTGAAATATTTTAGTTAAAGACAAGTAAACTACTGAAAAATGAGGATTTATATATAAAAGAAATTGACTTTATTCTGCAAATTCATGCTAGCAATAAGATTAGCTTGTTCCATTTTCATATATTAATAAAAAACCAGTTACTCCCTATTCTTCAATATAAATAAGGATTTGAAGAATAAATTTTATTTCTAACAGTCAGCTAAAAATTAGTATTTAAAGCAAAGAAACCAGGAGAATTATAATAATAAAATTAAATAAGTAAGTTAGAACATGAACAAGCTAACCCTCATTTTACTTGCCCTCTTTGCACTTATCGTTATTGTGAGCGGTCAAGATCAACTTAATCAAGCTGACTTAGAATTCCGTGATCTTGAAGCTGAAGAATCTGATTCACACAGAGACCTCGCCGGTAAGAAAGCCAGCAAGAGAGACCTAAAAAGAGTCAAGAGAGACCTTAGAAAAACCAAGAGAGATCTCACTGAAAATGTCCAGAGAGATTTAAAAAGAGCAGCAAAGAGAGCTCTTGAAGTAAGAGATTTGATTCTTTGAAAGAACTGATTGCTTTACTAAATAAGTGAATCTTCAACTTGGCGAAGTATATGTTCTTTACCAATTGCAATTTGATGTATTAATAATTTCACTTTAATAAAGTTAATGAAAAACTTCTTTGCAATATACTTCTATAGCATATATTCTGATAAAATTTATTCATTAGTAAGGTAATCTCTCTATTCTGCATATATGGGGTTTTGGGGTTTTGGGGTTTTGGGG